AGCACTAAGCAGTATCAACTCAAGTCTCTGTTATAAAAATCCTGTGAAGTAGGTACTAATAATATCACCATTTTACAAATAAGACACTGAGACACAAACAGGTTAAATAATCTGTGCAAGGACACCTCACTGGCCAGTAGTAAACCCAATATTTGAACCCCAGTCAGACTGCTTCCAGAGTATATGCTTTAGTCACTAAACCATGGTGCCTCTAAGTAATCAAAAATGAGATAGTTATAAAAATGAGATGATATTAGGAAGTGTCAAGCACACAACATTCTCCACTGTCTCATTCAGCATATATGTTCAATGATATGCTAGGACTGAAAATGGATTTCTCAGTAAATGCTAATCTAGACTACCAAGTATTAGATATGAATTAATTATCAAATATTCTTAAAAATATAAAATCTCTTTAAAAATATTTCTGAAGCCTAATTTTAATAAAAATATACAGGTGTAACTGGAACACCTAAATCACATTAGGATTTACCATTCCAATAATAAGAAAAGTGTCTTAGAGTCTAATGAAAATCCTTTGCAATTTGAATATTATATGACACTAAATTATACTATAATTATTTCAAAGGTCAAGAATCTTAAACATTTAGTCTTAAAACTCTCTACCTGGGTGATGCAATCAGAAAATTAAAGTATGTGTGAAAAGATTTAATTATACAAAACAAGAAGAAATCTACTAATTTAATAACCTTTAAATAAAATGTGCAGTATTTCCCCACATGGGTATTATATTTCCTCTATTACAAAAAAGGAACTTTTCAAAAGAACATTTTTTAGCAAATATGAGCACACACTTTATTTTCCAGTGCTAGTTTCAAGGAAGAGTAGGATAAAATGTTTTGGAATAAAGCGTTGTATCATTTATTAACTCATGGGAAACTCTATGAAGCTATTATGCTGGGCTAGACTGTAGGTTTTAAAACAAGAACAACAGCAACAAAATGGGCTCCGACTTAGTCCAACTTTTTCAGGAATTTACAATCTAATAGAGGGAAAAAAAAAAAGAACAGTGAGCGCAATTGTTAAGAGTTGTTTTTAAAATTCTGGTAAGAAGGCCTTCAAAAAGGCACAGGTATACAATTATGGAGATTCCTGACTGATTCACAGTTATAACACCATTAACATCCAATGTGAGGTTGGAATGGTCAGTAAGTTATCTTTTCTCAGAAAACTTTGATAATGCAAAATAATAAGGCATAGTGGTTAGGAGCACAGACTATAGAAACAGTGTCTTGGTCTGAGTCTCAATTTTATCATGTACCAGTTGACTTTGTTGATTTCATTTAACCTTTCTGTGGCTCAGTTTCCTTATTATTAATTAGATAATTGCATATAGTTCATAGAATTGTATGTAGCCCAGTGTTGTTGGGAAGATTAAATAAGCTCACTTGAGAGAAGCAGAAAGACATTCTAACTACTTGAACCAACATAGCTTAAAAGGAGTCTGAATTATTGCATGTTGATTTGTTCTCAGGTCTCCGGTATTGCTGTTAGCAGATTAAAACATCTTGTCAACCCACAGATTTATTTATGCAGCTAGTTCAATCTTACCTCGGACATAGCAATGTTTTCTAAACATGGTCAACAAAGAGACCATTGGTGTGCTTAATCAAACACTATGAAATAGTTAAATATTTAATTCCATCACCTGAAAACCCCAGATGCTTCTAGTTGTTGATATTATCTATATGCAATGCAAAAATCATAACCACAAGCACTATGTGCCCGGAAATAACATACGTTGTTAAAGTAGGAATGGTTAGCTACTACACTTTTGAGGTTTTTGTTTAACACTATTTGCTACTTATTTGCTCAATCATTGTCAGCTCAAAAAGAGCTTAATGATATGGTTTAAATGTGTCCTCTCCAAAATTCAGGTGTTAAAACTCAATGACCAATGTGATGGTATTAAGAGACAGGACTGTAAGACATAATGTGGCCATGAGGGTTCCTCTATCATGAGGGGATGACATCTCTTCTAAAAGAAGCTTCATGTAGTGTCCAATCTACTGCTTTTCTGCCTTCCACCATGCAATAACCCAACATTCCTCCCCTCAAGAGGATGGAGCAACAAGGAACAATCTTATAAGCAGACAGCAGCCCTCAGCAGACAACCAAATCTGCTAGCACCTTCATCTTAGACTTCCCAGCTTCTAGAACTGTAGCAAATACATTTCTGTTCTTTATTAATTACCCAGTCTCAGGTATTTTGTTACCTCCACTAATGCACTCAGTCTCATTTTGTTATCTGTACTAATGGACCAAGCGGCTTAGTCGTTAAATGCACCCCACTCTTTTTACTGTTTTTTTTTTAAACTAATTTTTATTCATTTTTATTGCACCACAAACAGGGTGTGCAAGAACTCCTGTTTTGACATAGAGACCTCCTGAAACCAAAGTGCTGTCTCTGTTCAGCAAATTTTTTTACCTTTGCCTTTTTCTACTTAGCAGGTTTAAGATCTCGCCTCAACAAGGGCTCACACATTTCTGTAGAGGTCCAGACCTGTCCTGAGAAAGCAGCTTTGTTGTGAAAAGAGAGTAACAAGATCTCAAATTTGAGTTTAGCTTTTTAAATTATCTAATTCAAACCCTTTATTATACAGAAACAGCAGGTTCATAAAAACCTGAGCCTCCCAGTTAGCTGGTGGGAAGAGGTGAGAGCTTTTTCCTTTTTTAATTTGGCACTGACTAATTCAGTGGGTTTTTGTTTATATGTTTGTACAGCACATTGTCAGAGAATCAGCTTAATTCTACTGAAAGTCAGAAGAAACAACAAAATTTTAGGGTATAACCTTAAATACTGGAAAAATCATTAAGACATGTAACTTTGAGAAAATATGAATAATGGAATTTTAAACTCGATTCTAGCAGTCATAAATAAAAGGAACCTATAATTAAATAACTGCATAGCCTAATGGTAAAGCTACAGATAGGTCTTTGTACAATATATCTAGACATTTTCATTTATATCTCATATTCTTCATGTATCCACCCTTCTCTGGAACATATTTTGTTGCAGGGGCAAATTAAAAGGGACTTCCCTTAATTAGGTCTTATGTTTAACCATGAGTGCGTAAGATGGGGAAGGAAAGAAAGGAGGAGGGAAAAAGTATAGAGAG